CCCTCTCTCTCTCTCTCTCTCTCTCTCTCTCTCACACACACACACACACACACACACACACGCACACACGCACGCACACACGCACATGCGTAAAGACTCTGTCAGCCATCAGACAGGAGACAATGACGGAACAATTTCTTCTTGAATAAAAACTCTCAAAAGTCGAAAGAGAGACAATAGGGAAAGAGGGAGGGGGCTGTGATAAGGTAACACGGACAGAATTGTACTTCAGGCTACCTACAGGGGAGCATAGCTGCTAGGCAACACACCTCACGGCATAGCTCAGCAGGGGTGAGGAAACACTGCGTTTCTAGACCCCTTTCAAAATTTCAACCCTTGGCCCCCATTTTTTTGTGTTTTCTGTTCTTCGGTTTCAGCTTCACGGCTGCCAGCAACGTCTCCTCCGCCTTCTCATCTCCTTCTTCTTCTACTACTTGCCCCCCTCCCCCTCCCTCTCGGCCTTCCCTTCCTCTCCCAAACTGCTGAGGAGTGGATCCGCGAGGGGGCCGATCGGAGAAGGCGGGAAAATCGCCTTCAAACTCCCCCCTCAATTCCACGGCCTCTTCCTCGTCGTCGCTGCCACCGAGAGCCCCCGTCGTACGGTCAAAGGCGGGCTGCCCTCCCAGGACCGGTCCGCGGACAGCTGCTGCTGCTCCAAAAGGGCCAGGCGGTCCGGGATCACGTGTCGAGGCGACCGCCTGGCCTGCCGCGCGCTCCCTAGCATAAATGGCTGCAGCAGACATCAGGTATCCCTCAGTCTCCGACTGGAGCGTTGGGGGCGGAGCCATCGCAATACCGCTTGGCCCGCGCCACGCTTGCGTGCCTCTCAAGAACTCCAGTGCTTCCGCTCGAATGGCGCTGTTATGCGCATCCCCTTCCCCCTCATTCGGGCCTTCTTCTTCCCCAGTCCTCATTGGCACGTCTCCGAGGGGTTGCTGATCATTTCCCATCATGCCCCCCATTTCCCACCCAGAACCCCCTCCGGAAAACATTTCCGCCCCCCCCCAAGATACTCGTTTGCGCTTCGCCTCGGCCGCTGGCTCCTTCTCTTCCCCCTCTTCCTCCTCCTCTTCCTTCTCCTCCTCCTCCTCCTCCTCCTCCTCTTCCTCTTCTCCATCTTCTTCGTCCTCATCGTCGTCGTCCACGTCATCCTCTCCATCATCATTCTCGTTGTCCGAGGTAATCATTTTCTCCGCCGCCGCCGCCGCCGGCGGCGGCGATGGCGCATTCAACCCTACTGGCTGCCCCTCAACCGTGCCCGGGCGAACCTTCAAGCCACCCCCATTCGGGGGCGGAGCGCCCCCCCCTTCCTTTCTGCGCAGCAGGAGCCCATCCTTGGTCAGCGGCAGGCCATTGATTACCCCTCTCATGGTCTCCGGCTCGTCCGATGACAAGATTAGGTCTTTCAAACCCCCCCAAGATACCAAGGCCGCTCCAGGCTTTGATCCCGTAGCGTAGCGCTTGACTTTCCTCTGCGCCCTGGCGCTCTCGAACGTCTCCATCACACTCCTGATCTTGCCTGCCATATCGGCCGCTCTCGTTGCCGCAATCCGCATGCACCGCATTATCTGATTAGGGCTCACCCCGATCCCGCCTGCCTTTTGTACGCAGCACACTTCGCCGTGGGAGTTGATGGTGATCGTCAATCTCCCGCCCATGGTCGCTTCCTCCTTGAGAGAAGGATCCAGAAGCACGAGATCCTCGTCGAAGAAAGCGAAGGTAAGCGCCACGGGAAGGTGATGAATGCTCAACGGGATCGGGTCCCTAACGTCGGGGGGGTGAACGACCACCTCTCGGTTCTCGCCAACGGTACACTCAGGGCGGCGGAAGGCAAGCAGACCCATCAGAGCGGCCAGATTCGCTGCATCTATCAGATTGCCGCCATTATCGAGCACGTGGATGTCCACGCGGACGGCCCACACCAGCTGCCCTGCAACCACAGACAAGGCCTCCAGATCGACGGCCTGGCTCTCCCTCAGCCCTCTGTCCACAATCCGACCCAGCTCTACGGCCATAGCTCCCGGCCTTCCGGTCTCGAAGCTTGGATCGGCCATGGGAGAAAACTCCGTGTAGATCGACAACGATCCCTCGTTTGAACGGTCGCGATAGGGCTGAACGAGCTCGCCCGTCACCGCCGCCATTACGCGGGTTTGGCCCCATTGCACCTCGACGGTACCGTCTTCTTTGCCAAAAGCGACGCTGACACGACGTAGATCGAACGGTCGACGACCGTCGATCCGTTGATCCTCCTTGAGAGCGGACAAGATGAAGTCCTTCTCATTGTTCGAGATGATTTCCGGATCAACAGGCATCTCTTCCCGCCCGCTGTGCTCTCTTGCTGCTTTCTCTTAAGACACACACGCATGCACGCACATCAGACCCCCGGAATGCACTACTCCCTCCCTACTACCAAGTAATTCATCGACAAAGCCCCCCCCCTTCTTCACCCTCTCTCCACCCCGGTGGTTCTCTCTCTCTCTCTCTCTCTCTCTCTCTCTCTCTCTCTCTCTCTCTCTCTCTCCGTTTCTTCAGAAAAACCTGAAGGATACACAGAACATTATGGCAACTCTTCCCTCTCTCTAACGGGGCACTCGATGGCGTTTCTCTCTCTACGACATACGCCTCTCTCTCTCTCTCTCTCTCTCTCTCTCTCTCTCTCTCTCTCTCTCTCTCCCTGCGGGTCGCAGGAGATGGAAGAAGACGAGAGGCCTCTCTCTCTCCTAGCCGCCGTTCCCTCTCGCTCGGGGGCAGTGCGTCTCTCTCTCTGGGTTCTTGGTTCCAGAGGAACGAAGTAACACGCTATAATATCATTGGCGCCGTAGATCTAACGAATCTACGGCCAAGGCCTGCTAGCCTCCAGTGCTCTGGGGCGCCTGCCTCTCCATCTCTCTTTACAGGTCAAATTTCGAACGGAACAGAGAAGATAGCAGCCCGATAAAAAAAAAGGCTCAAAATCGTACGACTACCTGCCGCTTAACGTCTCCCCACTTTTCCATTTGCCGTTGCCATCTGCATTCCAGTCTTTGCTTGCGAGAGGAGCGTTTTCCTCGGGGATTATTCGTTTTTCTATGGAAAGTCACCCATAACTTCCAAAATCTCTGCTACCGCAGTACTATATGCCTTTGGAGGTTGACTAACCCCATTTGTCCATCGGGACATCTGTTACAATTGGAACGATACAGAGAAGATTAGCATGGCCCCTGCGCAAAAATGATACGCACAAATCGAGAAATGGTCCAAATTTTTTCGCTTTCAATGGTGGCGGAAAGAGAAGAGGCTTCGAAATCTGCGGAAAATGTTCACAGCCAGTTGGCAGCCCGTAGACTGTTGTTGTATGTGTCCATGGCAGCAGAGGCCCCACTAGAGGGCGGAGCTGGTAGTTGGGAGGTGTGTGTGATTTTGTGAGGGGGTGTGAAATGGGAGTGGCAGCCCGTTCACAGCCCGTAGACTGCTCTGTCGTATGTGTCTATGGAAGCTGCAGTGGGCGGAGTGGGTGGTTGGGAGGTCTGTGATTTTGTGAGGGGGTGTGAAATGGGGGTGGCAGCCCGTTCACAGCCCGTAAACTGCTGTCATATGTGTCTATGGAAGCTAAGGTCATCACTTCAGTACCAGTAGCGGTGAGGCGGAACAGTAGTTGGAAGGTTTGTGTGATTTTGTGAGGGGGTGTGAAATGGGGGTGGCAGCCCATTCGCAGACCATTGGCTGCTGTTGTAGGTGTAGACAACACGACAACAAAGGTTGTCAGGTGGGTACAAAGAGGGGGTGAGACTTTTTTTTCTTTTTTTTTTAAACAACCCGAGTGAACGCTAGGGTTGCTGATAAGAGCAGGCACCACAACCAGTAGCACTCTCGGGAAGGCTCCATCTATTAGTACACGGGTCCCTTCCAAATAAAATAGGAAATTGATAGTCCATAGATGATACCAGATCGCACAGAAGTGAGTCGGAAAGGTGGGCCGCAGGCCCGCACACCGTGGGAAAATCGAGGGCGGGAGGGACCGCTTCACCAAATCAAGGTCAGGGAAAAGGACTCGACCTCTGAGGACCTGACCCTTGTGTGGCGTGCGCTCAGGTTTGCGTTTGTAATGAACGCTGCAAAGGTCGGGGCCGGGAAGGCACAACTCGGGAGGCCTCACAAGCTATCGTAGCTGGACAGTCACCTGTGACTTATACTGTCGCTGGACAGGGCAGTGGGACCGGACGAGCGGACCAGGCCGTGCTTCAGCCAGGGTGAGTTGACCTGCCAAATCCTGGTAGCCGTAGATGTTGAGTAGTTGTTTGTTCATCGTGGATCCACAAAGTGAAATTGACTATGCTCGCTGTAGGCCTTGGATGAGGTAGATCTGCGGCTGCGAGTCCTAAGTCCCAAAAGTGTATGGTCCGAAACTAATTCCCAACCGCCGTATGTCGGTTAGATGATGTGGTCCGAGGATGGTGACCATGTTGAATCTGTTTGGTCCGTTTTGTGTGCAACCGGGTGTGCGGTTGCTGACATAATGCTGGGGAGAAGCACCTATTGGAAAGCGGGTCCAACATCCCTGAACATTGTAATTGCTGATTGCTTAGTCATATGACAGTGATGTCAACCTGCTGCATAGACCATCTACCCATTACGTCTGTAGGGTAGTCGGCGGTGAGGCATAGAATGTTTTTTTTTTATATCATAAAAAAATGCCAGGACGTAAGTACCAATCGGCCCTCCTGTGTAATTACTGTCACTTTTTCCTCTTCTGCCTAAGTCTTTTCAACCACTTTTTTTTTTTCCCCCACACAAAAGGCTCCATTCTTTCCGTGGGGAGCAGCACGTGTTGGGAAACAGGCCCAACAGCCTGGAAGGCACAGCTCGGGAGGGCTCGCAAGCTATCTTGGCTCGACAGTCACTTGTGACTTATACCGTCGCTGGACAAGGCAGTGGGACCGGACGAGCGGACGAGGCCGTGCTTCAGCCAGGGTGAATTGACCTGCCAAATCCTGGTAGCCGTAGATGCTGAGTAGTTGTTTGTTCATCGTGGATCCACAAAGTGGAATTGACTATGCTCGTTGTAGGCCTTGGATGAGGTAGATCTGCGGCTGCGAGTCCTGAGTCCCAAAAGCGTATGGTCCGAAACTAATTCCCAACCATCGTATGTTGGTTAGATGATGTGGTCCAAGGATGGTAACCCTGTTGAATCTGTTTGGTCCGTTTTGTGTGCAACCGGGTGTGCGGTTGATGGCATAATGCTGGGGAGCAGCACCTATTGGAAAGCGGGTCCAACGTCCCTGAACATTGTAATTGCTGATTGCTTAGTCATATGACGGTGATGACAACCTGCTGCATAGACCATCTACCCATTACGTCTGTAGGGTAGTAGGCAGTGAGGCATAGAATGTCTTTTTTTTATATCGTAAAAAAATGCCAGGTACCAATCGGCCCTTCTGTGTAATTAATGTCTGTTTTTCCTCTTCTGACTAAGTCTTTTGAACCACTTTTTTTTTTTTCCCCCACACAAAAGACTCCATTCTATTCGTGGGGAGCAGCACATGTTCGGAAACAGGCCCACTCCCTAAGTGATCACTACTCTTACCAATTCACTTTTCTAATCCAGTCTGCTCTGATGTCATTCCTTAGGTTCTGTTTAAATTGAATTTATGCCTCATGTTCTGTCATTGCTTTGGTCTTAAACCGTCTCTTGGGTTTATCAATGCACGACTCTACACATATTTCCCTTGGGATTGGTGTCCGGTAAGGACTGCAAATATTGTTGCAGCACTCAAAGGATTCAGTCCAAGATTGTTGTATGTCGGGGCTTGACTAAGCATGGGGTCGCCTGAGGATGTTGCCCATACGTTGTTCTCATGATCTCCCCAATTTAGCATATCACACATTTAGAACCATTGGTTGGAGTTGTAGTACATATGGTAGAGGATGTCTGTTACGTGATGATGATTGTGGGTTTGGGTACGTAGAACAACACAACTCACACATAACATACATCATTCAATTCGTACAAGCATAGGGTTGTATACATAACCATACAATTGTACATAACTGGTCTGGGTCGATACAACTACATACAATCGAGACATTTTTCAGCAGGTGATGCTCCCCACCAATAGATGGAGTCTTTCCCCTGGTGCTAGCGGTGGCTGCTCTTACCAACACCACTAGCACTTGAGGGGGCATATTTAAAAAAATAAATAAAAAATGATCACATCAGGTTCCTACTTTGCTTTCATCATCGAGGTAACAACTCAATCGATACATGTGTGAGAGATCACTCATACATTAATCATCGGATAACGAGGAGCAGAGAGAGGGACGGAACAAGATCACCCGATCTTGCTGGTCTCCTTAAATTCAACGATACTGGTCCTCACGAGATCCGATTGAACTCAACGAGTTGAGCAGGACAGGACCTCAGGAGCTGGTATGGACGAGGGAGTTATCTGAACATTCAGGCATTCATGAAGAAAATATCAAGAGAGAGAGAGAGAGAGAGAGAGAGAGAGAGAGAGAGAGAGAGAGAGAGAGAGAGAGAGAGAGAGAGAGAGAG